GACAGACCATCAATTGCTCATATACAATTTTAGGCTAAAGCTGAAGAAATTTAAAAGAAGACCACAAGAACCAAAATATTACCTTAAACCTATCCCACCTGGATTTAGAGATCATCTCCAGAACAGATTTGATGCATTAGATACTAATGATGGAAGACCAAAGAGTTGTGGGATGACATCAAGAACATCATCCAGGAAGAAAGCAAAAGATCATTAAGAAGACAGGCAAGAAGGAAAAGACCACCATGGATGTCATAAGAGACTCTGAAACTTGCTCTCCAGCATAGAGTTACTGAAGCAAATAGAAGAAATGAGGAGGTAAAAGAGCTGAATAGAAAATTTCAAAGGTCAGCTCGAGAATGCAAAGTCAAACATTATAATGAAATGTGCAAAGATTTGGAGTTAGACTCAAAAATGACGAACATGCTCATCAAAAGCTTCAACTTGAAATATTGAAGAAATATTTGGGCAAAATGGTGAATGATGTAGAAACAACAAAAGAAGATGGAAGGAATACATAACCAAATACTTAACCAAAAAATAAATGAACAATGTTCAACCAATGGTTCAACCAAGTCTAAAGTGCACTGAAAACATTGGTAAAGAACAAGGCTCTGAGAATTGATGGAATGCAAATTCAAATCTTTCAACAAACTGAGGCAGCACTGTAGGCACTTCCCTCAACTATACCAAGAAACTTGGAAGACAGTTACCTGGCCAACTGATTTGATGACAATATCCATATTTGTGCCCATTCCAAAGAGTGGTATGGTGACCCAACGGAATGCAGAAATCTTCAGACAATATCATTAATATCTCATGAAAGTAAATTTTACCTAAAGATAATTTTTAAATGACTGCAACAGTACATTGACTAGGAACTGCCAGAAGAGAAACCGTATTCATATGAAGATGTAGAATAAGGGATATCATTGCTGATATCAGTCAGATATTGGCCCAAAACAGAGAATACCAGAAATATGTTTATCAGTGCTTTATTGACTATGTAAAGGCTTTGAACTGTGTGAATCATTATAAACTATGGACAACAATGAAGAGAATGTGTATCCCAGAACACTTAATTGTGCTCACTGTGTGAATCATTATAAACTATGGACAAAAATGAAGAGAATGTGTATGCCAGAACACTTAATTGTGCTCATGAGGACCCTGAACATAGACAAAGATGTAGTTGTTCAAACAGAATAAGGGGACACTGAATGGTTTAAAATCAGTAAAGGTGTGTGCCAGGGTTGTATTACTTCACCATATTTATTCCATCTGCATGCTGAGCATATAATCCAAGAAGCTGGATTATCTGAAGAAGAATGTGGCATCAGGATTAGAGGAAGACTCATTAACAACCTGTGATATGCAGATGATGCAACCTTTCTTGCTGAAAATGAAGAGGACTTAGAATACTTACTGATAAAGATCAAAGACCACAACCTTTGGTATGGATTGTACTTAAATGTAAAGAAAATAAAGATCCTCACTACTGAACCAATAAATAACATCATAATAAATGGAGAAAAGATTGAAGTTGTCAGAGACTTCATTTTGCTTTGATCCACCATCAATACTCATGGAAGCTGTAGTCAAGAAATCAAATGATGTATTGCATTAGACAAATCTGCTGTAAAAGAATTCTTTAAAGTGTTCAAGAACAAAGATGTCAGTTTGAAGACGAAAGTGGGCCTAACCCAAGCATGACCTTTTCAATAGCCTCAATGCATGTGAAAGTTGAACAGGGAATAAAGAAGACCGTAGAACTGATGCATTTGAGTTATGGTGCTGGAAAAGAATATTAAAAACACCATGGACTGCTAGAAGAACAAACAAATCTTCTGTTTGAAGAAATACAATAAGAATGCTTCTTGGAAGCCAGGATGGGAAGAATTCATTTCTCGTACTTCAGACATATTGTCAGGAGGGACCAGTTCCTGGAGAAGGACATCATGCTAGGTAAAGTGGATGGTCAGTGAAAAAGAAGACCCCCAATTAGAAGGATTGGCACAGTGGCAGAAGCAATGAGTTAAGTTTAACGATTGTTGAGGATGGCACAGGATAGGGCAGTGTTTCCTTCTGCTGTGTATAAGGTTGCTTTGAGTAAGTATCGACTTGATGGCACCTAACAGCAACATCACCACCACCACCACCAATAACAACAACAACAACAGAGTTTAGCCACTGATTAGTTAGTCATGCAAACTTTGCCAAAGTATTCAGGATGGACAATATTCAGAAGACCTGAATTCAAATTGTGACTCAGCTAAGTATCCTACCAAATACGTCTAACCTGGAGTACATCCATAGTCCTTTCTAAGTTTTATTGACTTGATGGAGTTAGCATAGTCTATCTACTTACTAAGTCAAGTTTTTGTGGACTACAATGAGAAAATGTACTTGGAAGACAATTGTGAACTATAATGCAATGTTTTATGTAAAGTACAGGTATCAACTCTTGTAGGGCTCAATTCCATCATTTATGATGCAGATGTTCAACAAATATTTATTGAACACCAGCCGTTCGAAACTACCAGCAACTCCGCGGGAGAAAGATGAGGCTTTCTACTCCCGTAAAGATTTACACCCTCGGAAACCCTGTACAGGGTCGCTATGGGTCGGAACCGACTCAATGGCACTTAACAACAACAATATCTGTAAGCACTCTTGTCTATAGTAGGTAATAGTGTTGCATTGATAATAGTGTTGCTAAGTTGCTAAGTGCCGTCCAGTCAGTTCAGATTCATAGTGATACTGTAAAGGGTTTCCAAGGAGCCGTTGGTGGATTTCAATCACCAACTTTGTGGTTAGTAGTACTGTGCTTATCTTAGTGCCACACCAGAACTCTGCTGGTAATATAGTAATGTACAAAACACATAATCATTGATCTCAATGGTCTTACATTCTATACGGAGTATATACATAATAAACAAATAATTAGAATTAATATAGAAATCTTAAAATAAAAGACATTGCCTTTGAATTGATTCTGAATCATGATGAACTCTTGTTACAAATTACACTAACTATATAGTGTTTTTCTAACTGTAATCTTAATTGAAGCAGTTCAATAGGGCCTTTTTCCCAATAGTGCACTGGGTGAGTTCATACCATCAACCTTTCAGTTAGTAGTGCAGTGCAAACAGCTAGCACCACCCAAGAGCTTTAAATAATTACGAAGAGACTGGTAAATGTAGTGCTGTAGGATCAGCACTGGTCTCTGAACCACAAGGTCAGCAGTTCAAAGCTACCAGCTAGCTGCTCCTCAGAAAACCTATACAGGGTCAATATGAGTCGAAACCAATTTGACAGAACTTAACAACAGCAACAAATGTTATGGGGAAACAAAAAGCAAAGAAAAAAGAATCGAGAATCTGGATGAGATCAGCTATTTTTTGGATACCACCTAATCAGTTCCAATTTATACCTACTGTAAACAGTACCAAAAATTGCTCTGTTCTGCACCATCCTCACAATTGTTGCTATTTTTGTCCATTGTTGCAGCCATTGTGTCAGGCTATATTTTGCATGGTTTCTTTTTCCTTTTTCACTGGCCTTCTGTTTTACTAAGAACGATGATCTTTTTCCAGGACTGGTCCCTCCCAATAACATATACAAAGTACATGAGATGAAGTCTCCCCATCCTAACTTCTATGGAGCATTCTGACCATCCTTCTTCCAAGATAGATTTACTTCTCTGGTAGTTCATGATGCCTTCAGATTCTTCTCCAACACCACAATTCAAATGCATCAATCATTCTAAGGTTTTTCTTACTCATTGTCTGACTTTCACATGCACGTGAGGCTACCATAGCTTGAGTCAGACTCACCTTAGTTCTCAAACTGACATCTTTGCTCTTTTTTTTTGACTCCATATAGTAGTTTTAATAAAGGCAAATATAATTCGTATTCATTTTAAGTATCACAATATTTTGTGCATTCAACTAAATTCTAAAGAATCAAAAGTTTTTAAACTTATGATTTCTAGGAACTTAAATCTCATTCCTGACAAAAAAGTGTTTCTCTTGCTAATAACCATGTAAGCCAGAAGACCTAGTTGGACTGGCAAAAGAATCCATTTTGGAAGAAGTGCAGCCAGAGTGCTCCTTGGAGGCTAAGATGGCCAAACTTCTTCTCTCATACTTTGGACATATTGTCAGGAGGGACCAGTCGCTGGAGAAGGATATCATGTTTGGTAAGGTGGAGGGACAGAGAAGAAGAGGAAGACCCCCAATGAGATGGGTTGGCCAAGTGGCAGCATTGATGGACTCAAGCATGGCAACAGTAGTGAGGTTGGCCCAGGATCGGGCAGTGTTTCGTTCTGCTGTGCATAAGGTCCCTATGGGTCGGTACTGACTCGATGGCACCTAGCAACAAGAACAACTTGTTCCTGGAGAATGTATGGTGTCTTTTACTGAGTCCTTATTTCTTTATCAAATGCCTTCACCTTTTTTTCTACTACTGAATGAAATGCTTTATTGCCAAGTTTATTTATATCAAATCCTGCAAGGGTAATTTAAAAGTTTATTGAACTCTTCAATTTTACCTACAATAAGAATAAGTTTGTCATGAGCCCAAAAAACAAGATTTGCATTAGACAAATGTGGTATGAACAAAAAGCATACAATTTCTTATGGAAACATAACATGCAGATTTTGACCTTGTGGGAGGTGGTTTTACTCCTCTCTGTAACTAGTAGCAGTCATCCCTAGAGTTCAGTGTGGTTAGTGGAAGAAGGTTCACAAAGATCTGATTTTTCACTGCACAGCTTGTCAGTTAGATCATCTACTTCTTGGGCCATAAGTAAGAATATTTCATCTTCATACTCTTCTGTTATCGTTTCACATGTGAATTTCAAAGGTCTGTAAGCATCAGAATAAAAATGGAATTGTTTAAATTCTGTGTATATATTGTCTCCTTTCCTTGGAGCAAATCTCTCAAAAGTTCTCTCTTTAGTTACAGGGTCTTCTTCAAGTTTGTAGTCATTAATCCGCTCACATACTTTATCCAAAAGGTCTGTTAAGAATGCCTTCGACTGAGCTAAGGGAATCTTTCTCTTCTCCTGTGTCCCATCAGGATTTACTCAGGAGGAGGCCACCTTGGTCTTCTTCTGCCAAGCCTTTGGTGTCTTCATACTCCACTTCGTCCATCAGGGCCTTGCATTGCTAACCAAGACACAAAACATGCTCCCTGGGTAGATAATGAGGTAGTGATTTTGCATCGGAAATGGAGAGAGGTGAGAAACAGTCCATCTTTGCTCTTGAATACTTTAAAGAGGTCTTGTGCAGCAGATTTACCTAATGCAATAAGTTGCTTGATGCCTTGGCTGTAGTTTCCATGTGCTTTGATTGTGGGTTAAAGTAAAATGAAATCATTGACTTCAATCTTTTTCCCATTCATTATGAGGTAGTTTATTGTCCCAGTTGTGAATATTTTTGCTTTCTTTTTATTTATTTATTTAATTTAGGTTTTTATTGTGGATTGATTGAAAGTTTACAGGGTAGATCATCAGTTTTACATTCAACAAATCATACAACTTGTTTCATCACAATGATTACAATCCCCTCCAAGTACCATCAGTTAAAGGTATTTCTATATTCACTTTAGCTCTTTGTTTTTTAAAACACTCAGGCATATATAGTAATTTACACCACCAAAGGGTACATTCTGCAAGTCTGTCTCTTGGCCTCCCTCTCTTCCAGTGAATCTAGAGTCCTAAGCCACTCCCTCTCTCCATGTCTCCATCTCTGCCTTTATCTCTGGCGTCACTGCTTCTCTGGATAAAGTTCCGCATTCCGCTTGTGCTCTTCTCCCTTGATGGCCCTAGGTTCCTTTGTTTCTGGACTGTAAGATGAACTACTCCCCTGTTTTTGTAATACAACTTCTATCTTTACAATTATGACAGACACAATTAGTCATGATAACAATTACTCACTATTGAATCATAAGATTGTTATACCCATCTCTCTTAACCAGACCCATCTAGACAAGATGAAAATTACTAAGTGGGGACTCTTTCTTCCCCTACATACTCTTAAGCCAAAATCCCTCTTGAAACCTTGCAAGCCAGTCACTTCATGCCTTTATTACTCCTTCATTTTAGGTTGT